GGTTAACGGAGCTGCTTATTCGGGGGCTCTGGCTCACTCAGGCCGGGGGGAGGGAGGGGTATGGATGCCGGGCAAGCCTGCGGCGGCAGAGGCCAGCGTGACGTTGCACCAGCCTGAGGCGCCGTGTGTTCTCCCAGGGAAGTTGTCCCTGGATCACGGGACCCTGGCAGTGGTGGGCTGCCTAGGATCCTGGGAGGGGAGGTATGGGTAGTGACCTGTGCTTGCACACAGGCTTCTCGGTGGCAGCAGCAGCAGCCTTAGCATTTCTTGCCCGTCTCTGGGCTCCGCGCTGATAGCCGCGGCATGTGCCCATCTCTGGAGCTCCTTTAAGCGGAGCTCCTAATCCCCTCTCCTCGCGCACCAGGAAACAAAGAGGCAAGAAAAAGTCGGCAGGTCCAGACATTTTCCCGGACACACTCCCGGCTAGCTGTGGTGCACTAGCCCCCTTCAGGCTGTGTTCACGCAGCCAACCCCAGTCCTCTCCCTGCGCTCCGACCGAAGCCCGAAGCCCGAGCCTCAGCTCCCAGCCCCGCCCGCCCCGGCGGGGGAGCAGACAAGCCTCTCAGGCTGGTGAGTGCCGGTCGGCACCGATCCACTGTGCGGGAATCTGTCCGCTTTGCCCTCCGCACCCCTGTTGCTGTGCTCTCCTCCGCGGCTCCGAAGCTTCCCGCCTCCGCCCCCCGCAGTCTCCGCCCGCGAAGGGGCTTCGTAGTGTGGCGAAACCTTTCCTCCTTCACAGCTCCCTCCACTGGTGCAGGTCCCGTCCCTATTCTTTTGTCTCTGTTTTTTTCTTTTTTCTTTTGCCCTACCCAGGTACGTGGGGAGTTTCTCTCCTTTTGGGAAGTCTGAGGTCTTCTGCCAGCATTCAGTAGGTGTTCTGTAGGAGTTGTTCCACATGTAGATGTATTTCTGATGTATTTGTGGGGAGGAAGGTGATCTCCACGTCTTACTCCTCCACCATCTTGAAGGCCTCTCTTAAAAGTATTTTCTTAATTGGTTCTTTCAAAATTCAGTAATGTCTCCCTTTTCTCAAATTAGCATGTCTAAAACCAAACTTATCCCTTTCTCCTGAAGCTGACACATTTCCTGTGGACATTTTTGTTACCAGCAGCACCCTGTTTGTTCCGTCACCCAGACTCTAAGCCTAGAATTGATTGTTTCCTCTCTGTTCTTGGATTTCCAATCAATTATTACAGCAGGTCAATTTTGCACTGTCTTGCAATTTTTCGTTGCATTCCCACTCACATGTATGACTTTCATTATCTTTTAACTGGACTATTGCAGTGGTTTTCTAAATTATCTTTTTTTGCTTTTAGTCTTTTTTTCCACTCTATTTTAAATAGTATCTGTATGAATATTTCGAGAGATGGCTTTATTGAATCATGTCCCTGCTTCAAAGTGAACTCCAAACTTGTGCCCTTCAAGGTACCCTGTGGCTTGTGATCTGACTCCACTTGCCCTGACTATTTTAGATTCTGGTACTTTGTTTCCTGGACCCTCTATTTCAGCCAAATACCCACTTTGCCACCAATATGCCTTTTCCAACTAAACTGTCTCCCTGGAATGCTCAAGTTCAAATTTTCTTATTAAAATTTTATCTGTTTCTTAATTCTTGTAGCACTTTTGGTGTCCCCCTTTTCTGCTGCATTGTATGGTCTTTTCACTTTGCTTCAATAGAAGACATCTCTAAGGCAGAAGCTAGGTCTTATTTTACTCATGTTTACTACATGCTTTCCGTAATCTGTACACTCAGTAGCATTAATCTGTTACATATGCCTCTTGGGAATTCTGTGGCTCATGGGTTTAACAATTTGTCCAGGGTCACAAAAATTATATGGCAGAGCTGGGCCTCAGCTCCAAATCCTGTGTATATCTGTGGGTGACTTCATTCTGCCTTACATATTTATTGGTGGGATAAAGTGATTCTGTTCACCCTCATAGGCATATACATTATGCTGAACTTTAACTTGTATTGTTTACTTCATCTTTTCTTGACTTATAATGCCAGAAATGCCAATACTCCGTGGTACAGTGGAAACTGAAGCATTTTTGAAAGTATATTAGGCTGACAGAGAGGCTCAGGGCAATTTAGAAGTTATAGACAATCTCACAATTATCTTGATTATTTTGAATTCCCATTGGTTCCTGAATTTCTAGGAGGCAGCATTTTTATGCATCATTTTAAGAGCCAGCTTTAGGATGAGTGTGCATTATTTCATTAACCTTTTCCTTCTTGGTATCAAAATTTAGTGTCTATCTCTAGGCTTAAACTTGAAGTTCTTTTGAAGGTACCACCCCTTTGAATGTTATACCTCTGTACAGGCCACCTTTAGATGAACAATCTCATTGTCTTTTGCAGACCCTGCTTATGAAAATACTTTTTCAATTGAAAACACTATACCAGTGTAAACAATGCCCATGGATAACTACCATTTGAAGTGATGCCTAACGGCAAGTGTCTTTCCTGTGTGCCCAGTGGCTGCCTACTCTGCAGATGGGCACGGCCAGCTTCTCTTGAAAACTGGGGATTCTCTGGCTCCTTTGCTTGCCATATCCACAACACTGACTAAGTTGTCTTATAGAGATCTGTATTCTTTTACCCTCAGCAAACAGGCGTGTAGCAGAGCACACTCATGACCACAAGCAGAATTGGCATTTCTCCCATCTGGCTGTGTTCCTCTTGGCCCCAGTTCATGGGTCATTCATTACTGGAGAGAACATAAAATAAAGATGGTTCACAGAGTCATCATATTTTTATCCAGTTTCTTCTGGGACCCAGGATTCATGACAATTTGAGCCAACTAGGACGTTAAGTCAATTAATCCCTAACATTTCCTTTGCTGTTATGTCATACAATGGATGCTTAGGAATCTAGTATTTTGTCCCGTCTTTTTTTTTTTTTTTTTTTTTGCGTCTGCACAGGCAATTATCAGTTCAAATCCTAAACCCAATGCATACTAGCTGTGTGAATTTGGGCAAGGTATTTAGCCTCTCTAACTCTGTTTTCTCGTTTATAAAACAGAGGCAATCTGAGTTCTTGAGGAATATTATGAGGAAAACAGCAAGTGTGCCAACTTTGACTATCAAATTACTTTCAGAAGTGGGAGCAAACATATTCAACATTTGAAATATTAGAAATTACAGACTATCTAAAAACTGCTACCTGTGTCACTACTATAGCTTCTAGTAGCAAGTGCAGAATGTGGATAATTGAGTGTGGCTGGCATTTGCCATCAGTGCTCTAAACTACATGATGCTGATGGCATTGTAGAGAGAGCTGATCACTGAATCTTTGCCAGGTCTGGTTTCATAACCACCACTAAGCGTGGGTGTGCTATGGAACATCTGAGAATAGAACTATTCCTTGTCAGCCTCCAAATGGGCAGGCACCTGATGTGCCTCTTCCCTTGTTTGCTAATCAATGGATAATATCCCAAGTCAGTTAAAAAAACAAAACAAAACAAGTTTGGGGGTTGGGGTTTATAAGGAAAGCTTGAAGGTGACTTCTAAGTAAACTGTGGTGGGTATGTTGGCCAACCTCTCACAAAAGTCTGCAGTAATTTGAGTGTCCTAGACATTTATTAAGGGCCTATTTTGTGTCAAGCACTACATTTGGCCTTGGGAATATAAGATGTAATATAGGAGTCTTTCATAAAGAGTTTAAAATAGTCATTAGGGTAAGCTTAAAGAGAACAGTCTTCAACAGAGCATAGGCTCCAGCAGAAGAGCTCCAATATTTGCTGATTCAGAAGTTTCCCAGAGGACCAAACCTGGTGTCATCTTTGAAATGTCTTTGGTCCTTGGCCATTGCTATATCATAAAAATTAGTTTAACATGCAAGCTATTAGACTCACTACCAGATTTCACAGTTTTCACTGTTTTCATGGAATGCCATTGGTGTGATCCTTTCTTTGTTGTAGTTGTCCCTCCTCTTCCTACTTTTTCCATAGTACTATTTCTTTATAGAGACGAAAGTCTCATGGGGCTGTTTTATGAATTGTGATTTAATACATGTAAAGAGCAAAACACAAAAACAGCTATGTGAAATCTACGGAACTGTGGTTCTATAGTACCACCAGTGTCATTTTATGACTTCTGACCATATTAATAATGAGAATGCAAATTATAGCTAGGTAAAGAGGATAGCACCGTCTTACATTTGGCAGCTCTTTGTCCTGAAAATATTGGGTTTCATGGTATTGGCATTAGTTTCCAAAGTGTGGCAAGAGTCTGATGATTAGATTGGTTACTTAACCAGGTAGAAGTGCAAAGGCCACATGGCCTATCCATTTCTTCAAACATGAACAATTCTGAGAGTTAGAGTTTACGATTGAAATGTTAACTCAACAGGGTAATCAGGAGCCTGCAGCCTTAGTGATCGGGAGGGTCCAGTTGTTTTAACAGTTTAAATTTCTGTTATTGTGCTACTGCAGCTCAGATCCATCTGCTTTCTCCTATCCTTCTTGGTCAGCCCTTTGGATTTCCTTCCTTCCTCCTCCATCTCTTCCCATCTTTCCTTTCCCTTCCCTCTGAGCCTACCCCCTTGTTAACTGAGCTCCTAATACGTGCTAGACACGATTCAAGGCACTGGGGGCATAATCTGTGATTAGATGGAATCTCTACCCTCATGAAACATATTCTAGCAGGAAAGAAAGATGGTTAAATATATAATACAATGTCAGGAAGTGAATATGTACTTCATCACTGACACGTTTTCTTCTTCAGAAAAGCAATGAATTCTAGAGAGGGTCCCCGATACCCAAAGAGTCATTTCCCCATTAATACCTATAATCTGAAAAGTTTGGGCCTCTGAGGGGCCCAGACCCTGAGTGTATAGTGCTTTCCTAAATTAGAAGACATGGTTTCCCAATGCTGGCTGTGGTTTTCAGGGCAGAGGAGAGCACAAGGGTCCCAGGAGCCACCCCTCCCCTCCTTCCTTATGCAGCTAATTCAGCATGGTCTCTATAAACCATGTCCAGTCTTTCCTTCTCAACTCATAGGGTGATGCTGAGAACCTCTGTAGTCTGTATGAGAGCACTTGAATGAAGAAAATGCAAAACTAGATGAAGTGACTCAGTTGGCAAATGATCTGACAGCACAGAAAACAACGCTACGGAGTGAAAATGGTAAGTAAACTTTCAGTGATGCTTCACTTATGAGTCTCAATCCCACAGACTGGTAGAGAGACCACTGAAATGGTGAAACAGTTATTGAGCCTGAGTGGGCACTTAAAAATTCTAGGGGACAAATGAGGCCCTGGATGTTACCTTGTCCACAGACATGCTCTTGTCTGGGAAAGATCACCTCTGTACCACCTTGGGAGTCCCCGCCCAGGTCTCTTCCTTGAAGGGAAAATGCAACATGCAGTTGACTGGAGCAGCTTTCAAGATCAAAGGATGGTAGGGGCTGTCCACACAGTCTACAAACATGCCTCTTCATCACATTTACCTCATTGAAATAGGCATTTTTCCTAATTTTCAGTAATGAGCCCACACCTCTTTTTTATATTTAAATTTATTTAAATTTATTTTTAAAATTGAAGTATAGGTAATTTACAATGTTGTGTTGCTTTCAAGTGTACAGCAAAGTGATTCAGTTATACATATATATGTATTCTTTTTCAGATTCTTTTGCATGGTAGGGTATTACAAAATACTGAGTATAGTTCCCTGTGCTATACAGTAGGTCCTTGTTTACCTATTTTATATATAGTAGTGTGTGTATGTTAATCCCAAACTCCTAATTTATGTCCCTCCCCCATCCCTGCTATCCCCTTTGGTAACCATAAGTTTGTTTTCTATGTCTGTGAGTCTACTATTTGTTTTGTAAATAAGTTCATTTGTATCATTTTTTTAAATTCCACATATAAGTGATATCATATGATATTTGGCTTTCTCTTTCTGACTTACTTCACTTAATATGATAATCTCTAGGTCCATCCATGTTGCTTCAAATGACATTATTTCATTCTTTTTTATGGCCAAGTAATATTCCATTGTGTGTGTGTATGTGTATATATGTATACATACACACACACACATATATATATATATATATATACACATACATACGTACACATCACAGCTTCTTTACCCATTCAGTTGTGGATCGACATTTAGGTTGTTTCCATGTCTTGGCTATTGTAAATAGTGCTGCTATGAACATTGGTTTCCTCTAGGTATATGGCCAGGAGTGGGATTGCGGATCATATGGTAATTCTTTTTTTAGTTTTTCAGACACCTCCATACTGTTCTCCATAGTGGCTGCACCAGTTAACATTTCCACCAACAGTGTAGGAGGGTTCCCTTTTCTGCATATCCTCTCCAGCATTAATTGTTTGTCGACTTTTTGATGATGACAGTTCTGACTGGTGTGAGGTGATACCTCATTGTAGTTTTGATTTGCATTTCTCTAATAATTTGTGAAGCTGAGCATCTTTTCATGTGCCTGTTGGCCATCTGTATGTCTTCTTTGGAGAAATGTCTATTTAGGTCTTCTGTCCATTTTTTGATTGGGTTGTTGGTTTTTTTGATATTAAGCTGTATGAGCTGTTTGTATATTTTGGAAATTAATACCTTGTGGGCTGCATTGTTTGCAAATATTTTCTCCCATTCTGAGAGTTGTCTTTTTCTTCTGTTTCTGGATTCCTTTGCTGTGCAAAAGCTTTTAAGTTTAATTAAGTCCCATTAATTTATTTTTGTTTTTATTTCCTTTACCCTAGGAGACAGATGCAAAAAGATACTTCTGTGATTTATGTCACAGTGTGTTCTGCCTATGTTTTCCTCGAGGAGTTTTATAGTATCCAGTATTACATTTAAGTCTTTAATCGATTTTGAGTTTATTTTTGTGTATGGTGTTAGAGAATGTTCTAATTTCATTCTTTTACATGTAGCTGCCCAGTTTTCCCAGCACCACTTCTTGAAGAGACTGTCTTTTCTCCATTGTATATTCTTGCCTTCTTTGTCATAGATTAATTGACCGTATTGTGTGGGTTTTTTTCTGGGCTTTCTATCCTGTTTCATTGATCCATATGTCTGTTTTTGTGCCAGTACCATACTGTTTTGATTACTGTAGCTTTGTAGTATAGCCTGAAGTCAAGGAGCATGATTCCTCCAGCCGTGTCCTTCTTTCTCAAGATTATTTTGGCTATTCAGGGTCTTTTGTGTTTCCGTACAAATTAAAAATTTTTTGTTCTAGTTCTGTGAAAAATGCCACTGGTAATTTGATAGGGATCACATTGAATCTGTAGATTGCCTTGGGTAGTATGAACCCACACCCCTTTTTTACACTCAGTAAAAGCCATAGTCTGGGGCTTCCCTGGTGGCTCAGTGGTTGAGAGTCCACCTGCCAATGCAGGGGACACGGGTTCATGCACCGGTCTGGGAAGATCCCACATGCCGCGGAGCGGCTAGGCCTGTAAGCCATGGCCGCTGAGCCTGCGCGTCCAGAGCCTGTGCTCCACAACAGGAGAGGCCACAACAGTGAGAGGCCCACGTACTGCAAAAAAAAAAAAAAAAAAAAAAGCCATAGTCTGTACAATGGCCTACAAGGGTCAGATGCTTGGGCCCCATTATCTCTCTGACCTCTTCTACTTTCTCTTCTCTCATTCTGCCTTGGTCACTTTGAACTCTTTGCTGTGTTTTGAACATACCATGCACACTCCCACCCTAGAGTCTTGCCCTGACTATTTCCCCTTGTCCTGACTATTTCAGCAAAGACTTAAAGATGAGGGTTAATCAAATAGATCTGGGAGGAGTCAGGATAGGCCTTGTTGGGAAGGTGACATTTGAGTGCTCTCAACCAGTTTTCTCCATGTGCTTCTATTTTCATAGCATTTAATACCTTCAAAGAAGCTACATGCTTGACATAATAAATAAGTTTGTCATGTCTCCACCTGCCAGAATGTACCCTACACAAGGGCAGAGGTCTTTGTTTTGATCACTGATTTTTGTCAGTCATCTAGAACAATGCCTGCCACTTATTGGAGATCCACAAACATTTGATCAATTGAAAGTAGAACAGTGTTCCGTTGACTTATTCTTAACTGTCAACCACTATTGTTAGTGAGATCTTTTTCCTATATTTTACATGGTGGCAATCTATTTGAGGTTTTTCATTTTCAGTTTGTCATGAGCTTTTTTGTATCTTGCATACTCAGTCACTTACAAGAGTGCTTCGAATCCATCAAGTAGATGGACAATGGTTACTTCATCTTGTCCTGTAACTTGCTTGTCTGCTATGAACAGCATGTGGCTAGCTGTTTGTCTGTAATTAGAATTATTTTTAGTAATATATTCCTAAAGATAGAATTCCTAGGTCAATGAAAATAAACAATGTGTTCTTGATGCCCAGAGGCACTCACTTTAAAGCTAGAGTGAAAACCGTTTATCCTTCTGCCTATGGACACCTCTGTTTCTAGATGTTAATCTAGAGTCAAAGCTAAATTAGAATGAACTGGCAAAATAACAAACCTGGAAATCTAGAAGAGGAAAGAGCTTTGGATTCTAGCAGGGACACGAAGTAGAACTCTTATGCTGGTGACAGGGTGTATCACACTTGGCCTCATTACAAAACCCCCAGTTTGATCTTCTGTGCCATTTAGGATGTAGTCTGCGTGGGGACTGTTCAGTTCAGAGACTAAGCTGGAGTATACCTTTTTGTCCAGCTCTGAAGGTAGTATTGTATACAAGTTTTTTCATAGGCATTGCCTACCTCTCTACCTATTGGCATTAATTTTCTACTCACTTTTTTGTTGAGGAAATTGGTGGGTGAGTGAAATGAAAGTGGATCTGAGATGATAATTCTGCTTAGGATGCAGGACCTTTTATTTCCTCCTTTATTCTTAGCTTTACCTTTTGGCTTTTGTACAAATTAAATTTTAGGTATATACCTATCCAAACCTCCCCTCCTCTCACTAGGTCTATGCTCCAGATTTTTTGCTGCTTTTTTTGCTACTATCACCAAAGTTTCTTTCTCATGGCCTGTCCTGTCCACTGATTATACTCTGCTTTCAAAGGAGACCAATAGTAAATGTGATCAATTAAGCCATGTTAAGTGAGTCCTAGTTCTATAAAATATGTGATATGTTTGTCTTAACTCCCTAATGCAGGGGTCCCTAATCCCTGGGCTGCGGTCCACAGCCTATTAGGAACCAGGCCGCACAGCAGGAGGTGAGTGGTGGGCGAGAGAGCGAAGCTTCATCTGCCGCTCCCCATCGCTTCCCATTGCTTGCATTATCACCTGAACCATCCCCCACGACCCCGTCTGTGGAAAAATCGTCTTCCACAAAACCAGTCCCTGGTGCAAAAAAGGTTGGGGACTGCTGCCCTAATGGATTGGCATTTCCCCAGAAAACTTTTAAATATGATGTATCACCCAGAGCTTCTCAGTTTTGGTCTATGCAACCCCAGCAATTGTCAAGACTCTTTTAGGGGAACTAAGTAAGAGGTTAGAACTATTTCATTCTAATACTAAGATTCTGTTTGCTTTTTAAATTCTTTTGCTGCTGTTATTGATGGTGCAAAAGCAATGCTGATTAAAACTGCTGGAGCCTTATCACAAGCTGAGGCAGTAGCACCACACTGTAGTTATAATCATTGTATTCGCTGGTCCATACTCAACAGTTTAAAATAAAAAAAAGTCAGTTTTACTTAAGAATGTCTTTAATGAAACAGTAAAAATTAATTATACTACATCTCAACCCCGAGTATATATCTTTTTAATATTCTGTGTGACGAAACAAAAAGTATGCATAAAGCACTTCCACTTCATACTGAAGTAGGATGTGTGATTGTGCGAGTTCTGAGTTGAACTAGCAATCTTTTCAGGAAGAATCATATTTACTTGAAAGAACATTTGACAAACTATGCTTATTCAGACTTAGATATTTTCTCAAAAATGAACAAAGTGAGCCTGTCACTACAAGGAAAACAGCTGACAATATTTGTTGCCAATAATAAAAGTGGAGCTTTTAGGTAAAATTAGATTTCGGAAAACAGTTAGGTACCATCATAAGCTTGATGGCTATCAATTCTTGAAGACTTTTCTTTTTTCTTCCTTTTTTATTGAAATATAGTTGACGTGAAATATGATATTAGTTTCAGGTATATAACATAGTGATTCAACA